CTGTATTAACCCCCACATCACTGGAGGATTGTCGTTGTGGGGGCATGGGGGGGAGGGGGTGTAAGGGGATGCAAGATAGCAGCTACTAACATGAGAGACACTCCTCCTTGAATATACTGTAAGTACCGTCCTTTGTGCTGATCTTTCTTACTTGCAGAAGTGGTTATTTTTGCATGGTAATCAACTTTAAAGCTGAAATTATGGTACGTTTTACATAGTTACATTGCTCCAGCTTGGACCAATATAAGTGTAGCACCCTCCTAGTCAGCTAGGGGGAGCTAGACTCCAATTGTTAGCCAGGAGGGCTGAGTAGCAGCCTGGGTGTGAAAGGGGTCAAATTGTGATCAGAGCTGAGAGGCTGTACAGACTAGCTCTCTGGACTTTCCCCCGCTTTAGGACTTTGGAGAAAGATCTAGAAGCAGTGGGCAGATCTGAGGAGTGGATAGTCTGTACTCTTAGAGGATCCTGGCCAAACCCCAACAGGAGGCTTGGCAAGGGGCCAGGACAGCCTTTAAGAATAAATGAGCCTGCTCAGCAGCTGGAGAGTTCGAGGAGAGTTCAGGTGGAAGATTAAGAGGATGTGAAGCTGGAGAGCAGGGGCCTGGGAGGGAGCCCAGATGGGAGAGGGGCTCACCTCCAGGCAGGAATCTTGGAAGGAGGAAAGCTTGGGACCTCACTAGCCCCCTGAGAGAGGACCACCTGTGAGGCAGGGAAGGAGTGGCCCAGCTAAAAGGCTTAGTAGCAGCCATGACCCACCAGCAACACAGGAGAAGGACTGAGCAAGTAGACCTACAGTCCCTGGGCCAGATATGGGAAGGGAGCACTCTGGTGGGAAACCAGATTAGCAACTACCTGGGACTGTCTTCTTTTTAAATTGATAGGCACCGGATCCCCTTTTCAGGGATTCTTCTAGGCAGCCAGATAACGGAGTGGTACATTAACAGAAGCTGGCTAGCTCTCTGAGAAATAGATTTGATGTATAGATAAAGACTTGTACATAGTTCTGGAAGATTGTCCTCAGTTACAGTTCCATTTAGCATCCCATACACCACTTACCCCATCCAAGTTATAATCCCCTAATAAAATCACAAAAACAAAGCTCAGTGACTGGTTACTGACTCCTGGATACAAGTCTATGTGAAAATGTATGTTGCCTGACTGTGCAGGACTATAGGTGGACCCAAAACTTCAGTGACTGCTAAAGGGGTAGTGCTACATACAGTATTCATATACCATACCTGTTGGATCCCCATGGAAGCTGGAAATCACTGTAGTAGGCATTGCTACTACAAGCTTCTGAGTCCTGGGCCAGGCAAATTTTCTCAGTGAATGCAAAGCGTTCTCTGATTGGATAATGTGGAGAGAGAAAATAAGAAAGAGAGGACATGCAAAGTGTTCTCTGAATGGGGCCACCTGCCAGGGTCGGGGCCTGAGCCTGACAACTTCTCCCCCCAGCCCGCAGACAGCAAGAGGACTAGCCCGAGAAGAAAGAGGAGATGTGGACTGTGTGCCATGGAGAAAAGTGGGTGTGTAAAAATTGCAGAGGGAGGGTAAGTATCAGGTGTGTGTAGTATATAATTTACAAACTACAGGTGTAAAGAATATGCAATGCACCAGGTGCAGGTGTCATGTAATTTACACAGTGTAGTTTCAGAAGTATGTTCTGTACAGTTTGCAGGAGTCAGGACTGGTTAAAGTACATAGCTTAGGGATTAGGTTTGTAATACACATTAGCTCAGGGGTCAGGAGTAATATTCATAGCTCAGGAGTGGGTAATGCATAAAATGCAGGGGTCTGGAATATGTTACGTACAGAGTGCAGTGGTTAGGAAGAGAGGAAAGGCAGCAAATGGAGGTATACAAAAATATCCCCCCTTCATGTTTAGTGGCTAAATGAAACCCATTCACAATGAAAGCCATGGACAATGAACACAGTTGCAGTGAGGTGGTGCTGGTTTTAAGGGATTAAATCAGGTGGTGAAGAGGTAACATAATGCTTCCTTGCTGCCTGCCAAACACCAACTGGGGATCACTCATTAGAGGGTGACACTAGTGTGCACTAATCCACAGCAATAATGCCACTTCAAACATGCTGGGTATTGAACAAGAGTTGAAATGTAGTATGTTCAGTCTCTCCCCCAGCACCTGGTCTAGCCAGCTTGTTCTACCTGGGCCCATGCTATGGTGGATCCTCTGGAGCTGGGAGCCTGGAACCAAGCAGAAGCTGAGTACCTCTAATATCCTTTCCTCTTGGGCACCAAGCTGGGCAATGGGGGCTGGAGAACTCTCAGCAGGGATGAAGGGAGGATGGAGGTAGAGTGAGGACTCTTGAATTCTGGTCACCAGTGAGGTGCAGTTATTTTTTTTTTTTTAAACTTCCCCGAATGCCCTGTAAAGTAGGGGCCAGGGGGCAGAAAAGAAACTATTTAAACACTATTGGATTTAGGTGGATTAATTTGCATCAGTGCATTAGACAACTAAGTCCTGGCTAGCTCTGGTGTATTGATATAGTGGAGGCTGGGCTTCAATGTAATTGTCTAGAGTGCTTCTGCAGATTACTCTCCCTAAACCTAATTGAATAGTCCCGTTTCTGCCCCCTAGCCCCCACTGAACTCAGGGGGCCCAGGGAAGTTTTTTTAAAAAATAACTACAGAGCGGGGATTACTATATTGGTGCACAGAATTTGGGAGTCCCCACTCTACCTCCAGGCCCCCCTTGTAAATTGACAGAGCCAGGCCTGGTACAGGAGGGCTAGTGACATCTCCTTATCAGTGGCCCTGATCTGACCACTTTTACTGTGCTGCCTGACTTCTGGCCTGTCCCCATTTACAAGTTTGTCCATTGATTCTGCACTATGCTCCAGTTCATTTCTAGGTCATCTGCCATCTTCACGAGTATGTTAAAGGGCAGCAACCTGAGAGCCATCCTGCAGCAAAGTCCATCACTACTTACAAGGTGCATTGGTGAATATTTTCTATATAGAATAGATTCTACGCCCTTAGCTCACATTTCCACAAAATGTACAGATGGCACAGATGGTCCATCACCCCTGACCAGACCTGACACTGTCAAGCAAACTAAACTGATGTCATTGACATAAACCCATTGACATAGACCCTTAGATTTATCATTTTTTCATAATTGTGTAATACTGTATACTTTTTTTCTACTCAGGAATATACAGTATGTAGGGGTATACGTATTACACTATATTAAATCCAACCACTCCTACCATGCTGGATTCACTGACACTCACAGCACAGTCACAACATTTATCCACAGTGAATGTATGTGATGCACTTGTTAAAACAAGTGCTAAACTTTAAATGTACATTAAAGAGCATTTTGTGGTGAATTTGTGCTTAATATGTGGTACATTTGTATAATCAGTACATGATATAAAAGGTTCTGATTTATTCTGTCTTAGGACCTTTACCTTTTCCTTTTCATCATATTATACACCTAATATGTTTTCACATACAAATACATATACAGCTGCTTATTCCTTTGTTGAAAAATCGGTAATATACAGTATATTCTGTCTGTTTATAAAATTCTCACTATTACTTTTCTCTTACATTTCTTTTGTCCTACCTATTTTTCACACAACCTTTCTTTTAGTTTTTATATGATTTTTAATATCTCATTCCTTACATTATATACATTTATTGTATAATTAGTTTAGAATTTTGTATAATAGGAAACATTTTTACTTTATAAGAAGAAAAGTTTTTCAAATTAATTTGTCAATAGCCTAGAAATTATTCACTGCTTTTGCATGTTTTTGATTTATTAGTATAATCAGTAAGGGCATTATGGGATGCCTGGGTGACATCACCAAAGTGTGCCAAATGGCTACTTTTTCATTTTTTTTTTTTTTCACTTTCAGACCTTTTTAAAACACCTTTAAAGCACAAATGAGCATTTCAGATGGAGATTTTTTGATGAATGTGTAGTAAATATGCAGAGAATGCCACATATGTTGGATTAGAAAAGGTGTGAAAAGTGCAGTAAGCACTATTTCAACTGAAAAACAGATGTTGGATGATCTGGAAAATGCATTTTATAACAAATGTCACATGCATCACTTGATGAATATACCCCTTAGTAGATTTTCATATTGTAATGTTCAGAAATGGCTGTAGCTAGCCTCCGCTAGTTTTATACACAGTCTTTGTAGCCATTTTGTGTTCAGATCTAGAAAATGCAGGTTTGTAAATAATCTGGAAAAAAATGAGACTAATAAAGGCACAGGTGGAGATTTACTAAAACTGGTGCACTTAGAATCTGGTGCAGCTGTGCATGGTAGCCAATCAGCTTCTAACTTCGGCTTGTTCAATTAATCTCTGACAATAACATTTGGAAGCTAATTGGTTTTTTTTATACATAACTGCCTCAGATTTTTGCACCATGCAGTTTTTGTAAATAACCCCCCACAGTGTTCTTAGTTCTTCTAAAGAATTGGTAGACTGATTTATTTATCAGTCTGGGTCATGAAGCATAGGTGATAAAACATCTTTGATCTCAACAAAAAGTTCTGGGTAGCTAACATCCAGTTTTCCATCTAAGTCAATTAAATGGAGACCTTTTAAAATTACATCACAATACATCAGAAATACAGGACAATGAGGGGAATTTACTACAACTGGAGGAGACAAAATTTTGCTTCTAGCTTTCATTTTCAAAGCTTAACCACTTGCCTATTGGGCACTTATACCCCCTTCCTTACCAAGCCAATTTTCAGCTTTCAGCGCTGTCGCACTTTGAATGACAATTGCGCGGTCATGCAACATTGTACCCATTTGAAATTTTTATAATTTTTTTTCTCACAAATAGAGCTTTCTTTTGGTGGTATTTACTTGCTGCTCGGTGTTTTACCTTCTGCGCTATAAACAAAAAAAGAGCAAAAAATGTGAAAAAAAAAGTTTCTTTGTTTCTATTATAAAATTTTGCAAACAGGTAATTTTTCTCCTTCACTGATGTGCGTTGATGAGGCTGCACTGATAGGCAGCACTATTGGGCACTGATAGGCGGTACTGATAGGCAGCACTGATAGGCAGCACTAATGAGGTGGCATGGATAGGCGGCACTGATAGGCAGCACTGATGAGTTGGCACTGATCATGGGTACTGATAGGCGGCACTGACTGGCGGCACTGCTGGGCACTGACTGGCGGCACTGCTGGGCACTGACTGGCGGTACTGCTGGGCGGCACTGACTGGCGGCACTGCTGGGTTGCACTGGTGGGCACAGGTGAGTGGCACTGGTGGGCACAGGCGGGCGCCACTGCTGGGCGGAACTGGTGGGTGGCACTGCTGGGCACCGATCATCAGGGCACTGATCATCAGTGAATAAGAGAGGGTAGAGGTTCATAAATATTCTGTATCACCCAGTATATGGTTTCTGCCCAGTAACCAAAAGACATGCATACAAAAAAGGGGTTGTGAAAAAGAAATTTCACAGAAAAAGTGGTTATATCATGGACAGAATGCGATACTCAGAATAATTCCCAAAAATTATGCTTTATTACACAATAATTATAGACAATAGGGTAAATACCCTGGTTCACCATCACCTCAGTATGAAATAATACACACAGACCTAAAATCACATAAAAGCAACATCAAGACCGGTCTTAATATAAATGTGCTGCATAAGCAATGACAGAAACCTGTCTAGTGCATTTGCAGCACCAACACATTGGTTACACCACCAGCAGGGGGTGTGTCAAAAAATTGTACTGTCAGGTATAATACTATACAGCGCTATGCAATAATGGCTGATAACAGGCACCATATATTAATAAAATTACCCATAACCCAATCAAGGCAATGTGGGTGAAAAAATTGGAAATGTAAAAGGGGGGAGATTCGGATGCTCCTATGATAACAAGATGATAAAATGATAGAAATGCAGCCCCTATATAGGGCACGAGTGAGTGGTGAACATGTACAGATTCACAGTGGACATGCCCATATGTAAAGATGCAGAGTTATTCATAAAGGAATCACTGTTGGTATTCTTAGTGAAATAAAGATGGCAGGGCCCTGCTTCATGGAGTTTCTTCACCGCAACGTGCGGACTATAAACCACCTTAATATAGATGATAGTATGAAGCCTGCTGGGTCCTCCTTCTCTTGTGATATATAATTGGTGCCATGCACCTGGATAGTGAATCATATAGTCCCCTTCCTGCAATAAATTGATGACAAATGGACAGACAATCAATATATTCTTGCTGATGTATGTGTAGAGTGGTGAAATAAACGCCTTTTCATCTAGCTGTGTGACAGTTCACTCACCACCTGAGCCATAGGTGATACTTTTTTAAAGTTTCCTCCGTATAGATTACCAGGCATGGTCCCGGAAACAGCCGCTATCATCGGGACTGTGACTGGCAGGCTCCGTTCTCCCCAGCGACACCTTGTGGGAGGTTTGGTGGCAAATATTTGATCCCTCTGAATGATATAAGAAAGTGGGAAATTTTTCCTCCCTCTCGGTGTGCCCAGGTGTCCACTCTTTTAATTGTGTTATATGACCAGCTGTCTGGTCTAAGTAATTAGCTCTTTTTTCCAATGAGAATGATTGCCAGCAACCGATTTGCATATATGGGCAGTACTGGGCCCAGCATAAATATGAAGCTGAACGCAGATGTCTCATTGGTCCTGATGAAGCCAAGTGAGATACGCCCATCGGCGAAACGCGTTAACATCATACGTCAGATACGTCACTTCCGGTCACACGCTTTGGCGCCATACACGCTGACCAGCAGGGAAGCGGACATATTTGTTTGTCACGAGCTGTGCAAGGCTGCACAGACAACAAGGGGAGAGCGGAGCCCGCCAGTCACAGTCCCGATGATAGCGGCTGTTTCCGGGACCATGCCTGGTAATCTAGACGGAGGAAACTTTAAGAAAGTATCACCTATGGCTCAGGTGGTGAGTGAACTGTCACATAGCTAGATGAAAAGGCATTTATTCGCCACTCTACACATGCATCAGCAAGAATATATTGATTGTCGCCGTCATTCGGCTACCTGCGGTCGGCAACTAGTTAATTGAAGAAGATGAATATAGAAGCTGATTGGTTGCCATTAACAGGCGCTCCAGATTCTGTCTGCTCCAGTTTTAATACATTTCCACCAGTGTGTTTTAAATAACGTGCAATGCATTTTCAGCCACATTAGGTACAAACAACCCTAAGATGTATTAGAGCAGTTTGTTAAAGTGAACTAGGATAATTTAATTAACCACTTCCCTTCCAGCCCATGTACATAAATGGGGAGCAGTGCAGGAGCGGGTGGCCGTTTATAAACGTCCTCCCTCATCCATTGCCTGTGCACGCTCTCTGGGAGCACGTGGCACCGCGGTCCGGTGCCCGCTGTCTCTGGTGTGAGTTCCTGATCAATGATTGGCCAATCAGTGATCACATGAATAGTAGTAAGCAAGATGTCACTTCATGACATCATTGCTTACTACTAGTGAAATTTGTGAATGATCACAAAGGTTACATGGTACAAGGCTATTCACAACAGCCTTGTACTATGTGACAAGCTGTGACCAAGCTCTCACAGTATTTCTCAATGGCTGTAAAAATGCAGCCAGAGAGAAGGAGAAATTATTGCTTTTACAGCCTTTATGGGTGTAAAACCAATCAGTGTAAAAAAAAAAAAAAAATCTTCATCACCCCCCACAAGTAGTACCGTGTCAGTATGGTTAAAAAAAAAAAATAATAATATAAAAAAAATAAAATAAAAATGTAAAAAATGTTTTTGAAAAATTATAATTTTTTGGTTATAAACTAATTTGTTTTGTTTTTTTTTTTTACTAAAAAGATAGATGAATTTATTTTGGACAAGATTTATGAAGAAAGATATTTTATTTGCAATTTTATTTTTTCAAAATGTTTGGACTTTTTCATTTATATAGCAAAAAAATAAAAATCCCAGTGATGTATAAATACCACCAAAATAAAGTTTTATCTGTCTCAAAAACATGCTAAAAAATGCATATGGGTCAAAGTGTAATAGCACTGAAAGCTGAAAATTGGCCTGGACTGGAAGGGGGTGAAAGCGTCCGGAGTTGAAGTGGTTAAAAGTGATTTGAAGGTGATTTTGTATTCTCTATACCAGGAAAATTTCATTAAACTAAATGAGCCCTAATGACTGCAAACATAGGGGTTGCTTTACTAAAACTGAAGAGTGTAAAATCAACAGCTCTACATAGAAACCAATCACCTTCCATGTTTTTTTTGGTCAAAGCTTAATTAAACAAACTGAAGTTAGAAGCTGATTGGCTACTATGGACAGCTGCACCAGATTTTCCACTCTCCAGGTTTAGTAAATCAACCCCATAGTATTGTTATATGAGGTGGTATCAGAAGGTTTCAAGACTTGTATTGTAAAATATCAACAGATGGCAGCATGAGGCTGTGTGCACAGTCACAGGGAGCAACAAACTTCATAAGTCAGTGTGCCAGAAGACAATGTTCTGGGTACAGTGGGAACTGTGCAACTGGTGCTATTCTGACCACGTGCATTACCACGTCTGCTATTTCATCGTGAACAAAGAGAAAACCTGAAATTCTATGTGAAACTGGTCAAATCTGCCACAGAGATGACTGACATGATTTGGCAAGTTTATGGCGATGCTGCATTGAGTCATTCGAGGTGGTTTGAGTGGCACGCTCGCTTTAAGAGCAAAAGAACATCACTGGAAGACCACAAGAGATCGGGAAGACAGTCAATGAGCTCAACCCAAAAAAATGTCTACTTCCCGAAGATGAAGATCCAGCTCAATGTTTTGACAACATTGTGGAGATCCAGCAATTTGCCCAGTTTCAGGCTAGGTTCACACCTATGCAGGTTGCGTTTGAGCCGATTCTGCATTGTGTTTTTGCACTTGCGTTTGTGCCGCGTTTTTGCTGCGTTTTGGGGGAGGGGTTCATTTTTTTACATTTTTTCTTGTTGCTAGGCAGATTTAAAAAGACAAAAAACATCAAACACATGGCAAAAACGCAATACATGCTTTTCTGCAGCATTTCCATTGAAGTCTAGAAAACCAAAAACACAATTTGTTGCATTCAAAAAACTCCCTGACCCTTTCCAGAAAGCGCACTGGATGAAAATGCACAGGTGTGAACATGTCCCATAGGAAATCATGTTAAATGGACTATACTGCATTCCTGAAAAATGCTGCAGAAAACGCTTAAGTGTGAACCTAGCAAAATGACTTGATTTAACCACTAGGGGACCGCCCGCAGTACATACACTGCTACAAGGTGGCCCCTGTGCGCAGGATCACTTATATGAACATGATACTGCATTCCGGGGTAGGGGGCGCACACAAGGTGTGCAACCGCCCTACCTGCGGCACTGATCATGGCCGCGGGTGTCAATCACTAGGTCCCGGAGGGTGATTACCTGCCAGAGCCCAGCAATTGCTGGCAATCACTGACAAAGAGGAAGGCTGCATTGTTTTCAATGGAGCTTTCCTTCCTGTCAGCTTTCAGCACACTGTTCGAGGATCACAGGACACAACCTTCTGGGACAGTGTTTAACAGAGCAGTACACACCCCTCCCCCTAGTAAACCCCCCCCCCACACAGTTAATTTTTAATTGTCTCCAAAGGTTAACCCCTTCTTCCCCAGTGCCATTAGTACAGTGTCAGTGGGGTTTTTTTTTGTACTGATCACACAGAATTTCACATTTGCTCTTTGTTCTAACTTGCTGTCCATAATGAAATAGCAGACACGGCAACACATGTGGTCAGAATAGCACCAGTCACACAGCTCCAGATGTACACATGGCAATGTCTTTTGGCACACTGACTTATGAAAGTCGGTGCTTCCTATGACTGTGTGTGCAGCCTTGTGCTGCCATCTGTTGGTGTGTTACAAAACTAGTCTCAAAACTTTCTGAGACCACCTTGTATGTATTTTTTTTAAAGGGTCACTGATGAGGCTCCCATTATTAGAGCTGACCACTATGTTTACATGGAAACTATAGACACCATCCAGCCATTATATTATAGTTATTAGTCTTTTCTGACTAATCACTATTTTCTTGTGTTTTATTTCTTTTTATACAGTATGAAAAATATATCATCTGTATTCACATCATTTAGTTACACAGAATAATTTGGCAAGGAAATGTAATTGATTTGGATGCCCCATACTCTGTC